TTTTTTTCAAGGTAGACAACTCTCATCAGGATCAAAATTATTGTAAAATGTAAAATAAATTAATTATAAAGACTTTGTGTGCATTTCGTTCAATTTTTCAGTCTTTTTGTATGAAACTATGTGTCCTGTTTGCTTTTAGCTTGTATTTAGTAACTGTTATCCATACAATTTCAATAAAAAACGCTTTTTGTAACATGTTGTAGATATTTTATAATAAATAAAATATTTGTAGGGTTGATTAGCAATGTTTCTTTTCATTATTTTATTGTTGTTATAGTTTTGAACAATGCAACACGCTCAAAAAATGTAAAAGTGTTGAATTTGACAAAAATTCAATGTTTCGGTATTTTTTACAAAAAAATCCCCAGTTTATCGGAATGCTTAGATTTTCATAAAATCATCTCTACATAGTGACATAACTATTATGTGAAACTTTCATTGAATTCTGCTGGCTAATTACGAAAGGGTGGAGCCTCCTTAACTTTACAGCTTATGAAATCATTTCCCAACTCTGTATCTGTAACAGAGCGCATGATCAATTACATTTTAATCACTGCCTCCGCTAGGGATCGAACCCGGGACCTATGGCTTACTAGTCTTACGCTTTACCGATCGAGCTAAAGAGAAGTTCTATATAGCCGAGCGATATATTGCGGCTGGTATTTACCAGGGTTTCATATCGATACATCAGTCCCAGACATATCATTGAACTTACCAAGTTCTTCCAGTTTGATCTGGAGCTCCGCGACGTCGGAGGACAGCTGTGCGTTCTGTATGAAGTCTACCTGGAGACTGTACTGGGGATCAATCCCAATGTGTTTCTCGATTTGTACTATAACATCTCTGATATACTGAAAATTATTCCGAGTCGCTTCGTCTGAAAAAATAGCTTCTGTACTGTGAGAAAGTTGGTTCCGAAACCTTCGAAGCTTTTCGATACATGCTTGCAGAGACACATCATAGTCAGGAGGGTCGACTTCCCACCGGTCACTGCTTCCTGATAAAGACATAATTTCGTCTTGTAACAGGTTTTTTGCAATCTTATACATTACAGACATGTCCAGCTTGTCATAGGTAACAGTTTTGCAGAACAGTTTAACCTTTTCATCGTGTGAGAGGACTACATTTTGGCTTCCTTTCCGCTTTATGTTAAGTGTTTTTTCCCATTCTTTTAAAATATTCTGCAAATGTTGGTTCTCTTTGCCTCGAGGATTAATGTGTTTTAGGATTTCCCGCATGATATCCTGGCACGTAGTTTTTGAAAGGTGATCCAGTTTTGCATGATTAGCTGACTGTTGTCCTAGGTATATCTGTGGAAGCTTGTCGGCGGAAACTGGTGACACAGGTACCTGAGGCGACTTTGAACTGAAATCATTGCTTTTTGCTTTTGGAAAGGTTAGGAGTATCTCACTATTTTCTTGTTGCCTTTCTTCTTTCTCCTCTTCATCGACTTCGATTACCTCCTCCTCTCCAGCTATAGTGTTGCACATTTCCTCAGCATACTCCTCCTTGATGTCACTATACCAAATATAGTAATAATTTCATTGATTCCCTGACTAAACGTTACACCTGTATATGTCGACATTAATTACAACATTTAAGCGGAAAAAATATAGTTTTGTGAGATATTATTCACTTTTACTTCTTTTTCCCCTGATGCATATGAAAGATTCCGTGATTTTATGGTAATTATTTTCAATCATTTTTTTAAAGACGCGTTTCCACTTATTTTGGGAATAATTTATTTTAGTAAGGTAAAAAACGCTATGATAAAATAAAGCCATGATTAAATATCAAGCAATATCTAAACTTTCCAAACGTAACATAGTTATGATTAAATTCAAAATATAAGGGCTTGGATGCTAAAAATACCACAGATTATATAAAGCAATACTGTCGAACACACCTGACAATTTCTATGAAATACTGCTCGACCCATATGTTTATATAAAAACACTGTGGCCTTTCACTAAACGCGTACGCTGATAACTGACTTACGTTTGTTTTGTAAATGAATGGTCACGAAGCATCGGGTCCGAATCCAAGCCATCAGTATATTTGATATGATCTTCATCACCACTAAAATGAAAAATGATAAGCTATTTACTTAAAGACGTACAGCTGAAACACATACATTTTTAATATGAATACAGGGCCAGCTTACTGTGGCTTCGTGACAGTAAGCAAGACAAAGCATTGCAGAACATTTTCGTGATATTTTCCATTACATGATGTACCTTTTTTAATTCCTCTCAAGATAGATACAGAAAAATGATTCAGCATTTTATCAAAATAAATAAAGTCTGTCAATAATTTCATTAAAATTAATCAAAAATTAGTAGAAGACCACGTTAAAACTTGTTCTTTTGGCAGGAGTCTTCGTAGCAATCTTCCTTGTTTCCTTATTGTCTTCGCTTTAACGATTTCAGTTTAGTTTTACGGTTTTATATAACGACATGCTTAAAGTAAGGTGATACTTGAGGAATATCTGGCCACAGAAATAGTCGGTTATCCCGCGTGTGATCCCAAAACATGCCTAGTAAATAAAGATGTTGTACCGCTATGCCTGCCATGTCATGTCACGTGGGCTGAGACAGGCATAAGTTATTTCACTTACTCAGATTTCGGCATTTCTTCGAAACATTCATGGTATTCAGCGTCATCATCATCATCATCTTCGCTGTCGTTGTGTTCGACGTCAGAGGACCCATTGCGTTTGCCTTCCTCCCTTATAGAGAGGTCAGTTAAAGCCGATACATAAGATTCATCTGCTTCACCTCCGGCTACACACCTGACTTCCCCGACCATGTATGTATCGTGGTCGCCTGCATCATCAGATGCGGAGGAACTGTCCTCGTCATCCGCCATCGTAGCAGGTCAATCAGTAGGGTGATCCTGATGTCGACCACACAATCCTATAAAGCAACAAGATAGTGTTATCCTGGTGAAAATCACGACATTCTTTTAATTTTAGCGTTTTGTTCGATTATTACACTGCATAATTCGAGGTACAGGAACAATAAACTTAGACACGGATATAATAACATCCTGGAACAATGTCACGGTTTAACATTTCGCCCGACTGCATCGATACGTCTGCTTAGTTTTTTTTAATAACTGCACGTATACTTCTCTCTGAGTGTGTATCATAACTGTATTTATATTTATACTTCTGTCTGGGTTTCTATCATAACTGTATTTATACTTCTGCCTGAGTTTCTATCATAACTGCATTTATACTTCTGTATGAGTTTCTATCATAACTGAATTTATCCTTCTGTCTGAGTTTCTACCATAACTGCATTTGTACTTCTGTATGAGTTTCTATCATAACTGAATTTATCCTTCTGTCTGAGTTTCTATCATAACTGCATTTATACTTCTGTCTGGGTTTCTATCATAACTGCACATATACTTCTGTCTGAGTTTGTATCCTAACTGCATTTATACTTCTGTCTGGATTTCTATCATAACTGCATTTATACTTCTGTCTGGGTTTCTATCATAAATGCACATATACTTCTGCCTGAGTTTGTATCCTAACTGCAATAATACTTCTGTCTGGATTTCTATCATAGCTGCATTTATACAGCTGTCTGAGTTTGTATCATAACTGCATTTATACTTCTGTCTGGATTTCTATCATAACTGCACATATACTTCTGTCTGACTTTTTATTAGAGGCGCATCGAATTCGTAGATTTTTTTTTATTTCGGTTCGATATAAGGGACATATAACCTCATCAGAATATCATACAATGTTATCGTCACAGTATCGAGCATGACAACAAACAATGATGTAAGTGTAGTAATGGTGATAAGTGGAGTAATGGTGATAAGTGTAGTAATGGTGATACGTGTAGTAATGGTGATAAGTGTAGTAATGGTAATAAGTGTAGTAATGGTGATAATTGTAGTAATGGTGATAAGTGTAGTAGTGGTGATAAGTGTAGTAATGGTGTAAGTGTAGTAATGGTGATAAGTGTAGTAATGGTGATAAGTGTAGTAATGGTGATAAGTGTAGTAATGGTGATAAGTGTAGTAATGGTGATAAGTGTAGTAATGGTGATAAGTGTAGTAATGGTGATAAGTGTAGTAATGGTGATAAGTGTAGTAATGGTGATAAGTGTAGTAATGGTGATAAGTGTAGTAATGGTGATAAGTGTAGTAATGGTGATAAGTGTAGTAATGGTGATAAGTGTAGTAATGGTGATAAGTGTAGTAATGGTGATAAGTGTAGTAATGGTGATAAGTGTAGTAATGGTGATAAGTGTAGTAATGGTGATAAGTGTAGTAATGGTGATAAGTGTAGTAATGGTGATAAGTGTAGTAATGGTGATAAGTGTAGTAATGGTGATAAGTGTAGTAATGGTGATAAGTGTAGTAATGGTGATAAGTGTAGTAATGGTGATAAGTGTAGTAATGGTGATAAGTGTAGTAATGGTGATAAGTGTAGTAATGGTGATAAGTGTAGTAATGGTGATAAGTGTAGTAATGGTGATAAGTGTAGTAATGGTGATAAGTGTAGTAATGGTGATAAGTGTAGTAATGGTGATAAGTGTAGTAATGGTGATAAGTGTAGTAATGGTGATAAGTGTAGTAATGGTGATAAGTGTAGTAATGGTGATAAGTGTAGTAATGGTGATAAGTGTAGTAATGGTGATAAGTGTAGTAATGGTGATAAGTGTAGTAATGGTGATAAGTGTAGTAATGGTGATAAGTGTAGTAATGGTGATAAGTGTAGTAATGGTGATAAGTGTAGTAATGGTGATAAGTGTAGTAATGGTGATAAGTGTAGTAATGGTGATAAGTGTAGTAATGGTGATAAGTGTAGTAATGGTGATAAGTGTAGTAATGGTGATAAGTGTAGTAATGGTGATAAGTGTAGTAATGGTGATAAGTGTAGTAATGGTGATAAGTGTAGTAATGGTGATAAGTGTAGTAATGGTGATAAGTGTAGTAATGGTGATAAGTGTAGTAATGGTGATAAGTGTAGTAATGGTGATAAGTGTAGTAATGGTGATAAGTGTAGTAATGGTGATAAGTGTAGTAATGGTGATAAGTGTAGTAATGGTGATAAGTGTAGTAATGGTGATAAGTGTAGTAATGGTGATAAGTGTAGTAATGGTGATAAGTGTAGTAATGGTGATAAGTGTAGTAATGGTGATAAGTGTAGTAATGGTGATAAGTGTAGTAATGGTGATAAGTGTAGTAATGGTGATAAGTGTAGTAATGGTGATAAGTGTAGTAATGGTGATAAGTGTAGTAATGGTGATAAGTGTAGTAATGGTGATAAGTGTAGTAATGGTGATAAGTGTAGTAATGGTGATAAGTGTAGTAATGGTGATAAGTGTAGTAATGGTGATAAGTGTAGTAATGGTGATAAGTGGAGTAATGGTGATAAGTGAAGTAATGGTGATATGTGTAGTAATGATGTAAGTGTAGTAATGGTGATAAGTGTAGTAATAGTGATAAGTGTAGTAATGGTGATAAGTGTAGTAACGGTGATAAGTGTAGTAATGGTGATAAGTGTAGTAATTGTGATAAGTGTAGTAATGATGTAAGTGTAGTAATGGTGATAATTGTAGTAATGGTGTAAGTGTAGTAATGGTATGTGTAGTAATGAAGTAAGTGTAGTAATGGTGATAAGTGAAGTAATGGTGATAAGTGTAGTAATGATGTAAGTTTAGTAATGGTGATAAGTGTAGTAATGGTGTAAGTGGAGTAATGGTATGTGTAGTAATGATGTAAGTGTAGTAATGGCGATAAGTGTAGTAATGGTGATAAGTGTAGTACTGGTGTAAGTGTAGTAATAATGTAAGTGTAGTAATGGTGTAAGTGTAGTAATGGGATGTGTAGTAATGATGTAAGTGTAGTAATGGCGATAAGTGTAGTAATGGTGTAAGTGTAGGAATGGTATGTGTAGTAATGATGTAAGTGTAGTAATGGGGATAAGTGTAGTAATGATGTAAGTGTAGTAATGGGGATAAGTGTAGTAATGGTGATAAGTGTAGCAATGTTGATAAGTGTAGTACTGGTGTAAGTGTAGTAATAATGTAAGTGTAGTAATGATGTAATGGTGATATGGTGATAAGTGTAATAATGGTGATAAGTAAAGTAATGATGTAAGTGTAGTAATGGTGATAATTGTAGTAATGGTGTAAGTGTAGTAATGGTATGTGTAGTAATGAAGTAAGTGTAGTAATGGTGATAAGTGAAGTAATGGTGATAAGTGTAGTAATGGTGATACGTGTAGTAATGGTGATAAGTGTAGTAATGGTAATAAGTGTAGTAATGGTGATAATTGTAGTAATGGTGTAAGTGTAGTAATGGTATGTGTAGTAATGAAGTAAGTGTAGTAATGGTGATAAGTGAAGTAATGGTGATAAGTGTAGTAATGGTGATAAGTGGAGTAATGGTGATAAGTGTAGTAATGGTGATAAGTGTAGCAATGGTGATAAGTGTAGTACTGGTGTAAGTGTAGTAATAATGTAAGTGTAGTAATGATGTAATGGTGATAAGTGAACGAGAAACATTAAACCTGATGACAGTAGGCATAGGCATATAGAGAGTCTTCACTTCAGGAGAATGTAGAAACGTTTTATAAACTTTTCATTTTGGATAACCTTTATATAGAAAATGTGTCGAATCAGAACGCTTAATGTCATTTTTAGCAGTAGTAAGCATTGATCGCATACTAGTGATTTCAAGACAAAAATAGTGCAAAGGTGAACTCACTGCATAACAAGGCGAATTATCTTTATACTAAAGTGTTTTATATTTCATTATTCCGCCTGTAAAGGCAAAGAAAGCAGAATGTTTTCATGTCGTTTTTCTCTATGTTGTCGTATAGATATTGTGCACTGCCTTGGTCACCTTGGGTTGAATTTAATCTTATACGATAATTCTAATTTAGTGGCAGTTTTCCGTTGTTAACAAAGACAATCCAAATAAAATGTCTCCATGACAAGATGAGAAGACGCACAAATCTCTAGGTAGTTTTACTGGTTAATGATCGGTGAAATTATTTTGATGTATATTGTATCGTCATCAACATTCTGGTATTTTGATACATACATTCAAGACAATTGGATAATGGCGTATAAACAAATAAAACATATTACACAGTTGTTCAGTATATAAAATAAATGATACAAATATATATGTATTAACTCCCATAGGAGATAGTTCAGTTTGATAAAATTCTCCTTCATTCCCGGGTAACATTAAAATCTATAGTTCGTTAAATTAACATTGAACGGTGGAAGCTATTTAGAACCAATTCTCACAAATATATTATGAAATATATATAATGTTACACGTTATTTTTTTTATAATAACTTTGTTGTTTTCATGTTCACCAATGTATCAATACACTATTGGAAAGTACATTTATTGTTCTATAAAATGACTTATCATATCAAAGAAAAATAAATTATCTATGTGTCTATGATATCTTATTTAGAAAAAAATCATATTAACCACATAAATAAACACGTAAAAAAAGATATTTCAAGTTATAATAAAAATCATTTGTATGTTTTAAGGTAATTATTTTTGTATACCGAGGTTTTCTCCTGTTTGAACACAAACACAGGTTCAGTACGTATTAGTAATACCTCCTATCGGGTAAGGGATGTTTTAACAGTTTTAGTACGTACTAGTAATACCTCCTATTGGGTCAGGGATGTTTTAACAGGTTTAGTTCGTACTAGTAATCCCTCCTATTGGGTAAGGGATGTTTTAACGGGTTTAGTACGTATTAGTAATACCTCCTATCGGGTAAGGGATGTTTTAACAGTTTTAGTACGTACTAGTAATACCTACTATTGGGTAAGGGATGTTTCAACAGGTTTAGTCCGTATTAGTAATACCTCCTATTGGGAAAGGGATGTTTTAACAGGTTTAGTGCGTATTAGTAATACCTCCTATCGGGTAAGGGATGTTTTAACAGTTTTAGTACGTACTAGTAATACCTCCCAGTGGGTAAGGGATGTTTTAACAGTTTTAGTACGTACTAGTAATACCTACTATTGGGTAAGGGATGTTTCAACAGGTTTAGTCCGTATTAGTAATACCTCCTATTGCGTAAGGGATGTTATAACAGGTTTAGTACGTATTAGTAATACATCCTATTGGGTAAGGGATGTTTTAACAGGCTTAGTACGTACTAGTAATACCTACTATTGGGTAAGGGATGTTTCAACAGGTTTAGTCCGTATTAGTAATACCTCCTATCGGGTAAGGGATGTTTTAACAGGATTAGTACGTACTAGTAATACCTACTATTGGGTAAGGGATGTTTCAACAGGTTTAGTCCGTATTAGTAATACCTCCTATCGGGTAAGGGATGTTTTAACAGTTTTAGTACGTACTAGTAATACCTCCTATTGGGTCAGGGATGTTTTAACAGGTTTAGTTCGTACTAGTAATACCTCCCATTTGGTAAGGGATTTTTTAACAGGTTTAGTATGTACTAGTAATACCTCCCATTGGGTGAGGGATGTTTTAACAGGTTTAGTGCGTATTAGTAATACCTCCTATCGGGTAAGGGATGTTTTAACAGGTTCAGTTCGTACTAGTAATACCTCCCATTGGGTAAGGTATTTTTTAACAGGTTTAGTACGTACTGGTAATACCTCCCATTGGGTAAGGGCTGTTTTAACAGGTTTAGTACGTATTAGTAATACATCCTATTGGGTAAGGGATGTTTTAACGGGTTTAGTACGTATTAGTAATACATCCTATTGGGTAAGGGATGTTTTAACAGTTTTAGTACGTACTAGTAATACCTACTATTGGGTAAGGGATGTTTCAACAGGTTTAGTCCGTATTAGTAATACCTCCTATCGGGTAAGGGATGTTTTAACAGGATTAGTACGTACTAGTAATACCTCCCATTGGGTAAGGGATGTTTTAACAGGTTCGTTTTATTCCAGACACACATCTAAATTATATCAAAGGAAACTTTGCCTTTACTTGATTTAACAAAGACCTTAAGATCGTCCAAAACAATGTTACGAAAACTTCATTATACTAATTCAAGCATAAAAATAGTTATTTTACAAAAAAAACCAAAAAAAAACAAAACATTTCGCATATGCATATGAAGTAACACCATCGTTGGAGTGTGAAATTTTGAACATTAGAAAATATTCAGTTTGCAAACGCTAGAGGGCTGTTAATATTCTAGCTGATTCCTACCGACTTGGCTAGGGCAAAGGTAAAACAAGAACCCCCACCCCTCTCCCCTTTTCGTATGTTGATATATACCCGGGAAGTCCTACATCAGAATACTATTTAGTCTAAGGAGAAGAGATCAGGTGTATGAATAGATAAGGCGAATCATGCTGGTTCATTTCTCCTTATGTCAGTAAATAGACATCCTAATTAACCCAATATTATGACTATTGACACAGTATTTGTATACGTCATGTTGTTTACATTCATGGCGTCCCAGACCCAAACAGAAAGTAGATCCCGATTAAATTGAATCAATGATAAATTTATAGATCTTTTCTGTAATAAATATGTTCTGCAAACATTACTTACCTCACCACAGAAATAGGCATGCTATACTTTGACTATACCAAGAGGGTTTAACCTGAATGTGTTATTCACATTCCTGGTACTTGTGTATTCCAGGAAGTAAATTGTGCGTTAGGCAATGCAGGAACGATCTCTAATTATTTGCTAAATGATCGAGTGTAGTGTACATGGTTTCTATATGAGAACGGTGATGAACTTACCTATAAAGGTGCTGTGCATTTTTACATGCACATGCATATCTCTCTGGTAAACGTTATAAACAAGGCACATGTACCGAACCTTGACCGATGACCTCGTTCTATGCAAATTTGGATGGTGTAAGTATAGCGAATCGTAAACAGACATGTGTTGACGAGTGCACTCATGTGTGTTTACAGCTCGGCGTCACAACAACAGAGCGAGGATGTCAGATTATATTTACAGCTGTTTATATGGCTTACTGTCAATCAGACAGGATAGTGGGATTGAATTTTCAAACCTATTTTATCTTAAAACAAATAATCTGAATGCATGGGTACGTATTTTCAGACAGTTCTACACACCAAAGCACATTTATGACATGATTTTTTATTAACATGACACTCTGCTTAGACTTCACCTTATTTAACAAATCGTTTTAATGTGCAATGTGTTCAAAAACAAAATATCCTGTAATATTTGGATGTTTCGTGCTCTGCAACAGGTTTATGTTTCAAAGGGTGATACAACTATGAACTAATGAACCCAAATAGCTAACCAAAGACATGCTGAGGGGTGTTTAGATAAACAGAATTACCGTAATTATTAATGTTTATAGGTTAATTTAGGTTTTTCAAACAGGCTCATATCAGTGTATATGGTATGTAATGGGCTAATAACTTTTCTTCAAAACGAAAAGATAATGACATTTGCAAAAATTATCCGTCGAAAATAGCTGAAGAGTAACTTTTGAGTGCAGAATTGAGTGGCGCATCATTGCATTGAATATTATAATTCATGGAAAAAGCTTACCTGGACATGCATTCCTGAAGTATCCGTGTATTCACTATTATCGAGAAAATGCTTCAAATTTCAGGAATTATGGCATGTATTTTCATTGGATATTTTTACAATAATTCATGAAGCTAACAAGACTATTGATGCACGTCAAGCCAGATTACCTAAGTGTAGTGCTTTGATTGGTGTACAGGTAAAGTCTTACTTGATTTGCATGTTTTTTCCAACCTCAGTCAGCCTTGTTGCCTTTGTGCTCAGTTGTGATTGATTCAGTGGAAATATATGGCATTGTTCTGGAGATTCGACACATTTTCTTAAATTTTGCTCGATAGGAGTGAATAGTGGATACCTCGGAAATGCATGTCAAGGTAAGTAAAGGTTATTGCATGGTTTTCGTGTTACAAGGGATTTATTACACCCGAGCTTAATAAGTCCCGAGTGACGAGAAATCATGCAATAACTGGCTTACTGAATGCTTCCCGACTCGAAAACAAAACAGAAAAATGGAGTAAAAAATATTCACCTGGACAATATTTTTACCTACCCTACGTATACACTGCAGATAATTTACATGTACCTGTGTGAGTGAGTACTAATCAGAACAAGGTAAGTTTGTCTTTAGTCTCAACAGCCCAGTCTGAGTGTATCCTTCATAATGGATACAAGTGTTTTTGGATTACTATCCAGCTCCAGTGTCAGGGAAGGTTTAGTTTAGTTTATTGGCCTTTAGCCTTTCGGCTAATCAGCATAAACATTACAATACATTTTACAAAATTGAGTGAGTGATACACAGCAATACAGACATATTATGGAGGATGGACAATATGTGTAATTATTCATTTGATCTCAGTTGTGAAGCAGAAATTAAAAATTTGGAAAGACTATTCAATTTCCTCTTACTTCTAACAGAAAGTAAATTAATTAATTTAAACATAGGTAAGGAGCGTCTGTACAACAATTAGAACAAAATAAGGGACACAATAATGAATTTCTGACTACATTTTCAGTTTAATTTTCAATTCAAGATGTGGCAAAGGTACAGGATAGTAAAACCGTTTTCATACATACAATGTAAGTGTTTATCAATCCCTAAGGAATTCCAGTTCTTTCAATGAATGGTATACTTGGATGTGCAATCTTGTATAAAGAAACATCTCCTAAAGATTATAAACATTTCCAGGAAATGCTTATCCCTCACGTGATAAGGAAATCAATTATAGTATTCAATGAAATTTTGCGCCACTCAAATTCTGCATTCAAAAGTAACTTTTAAGACAAAATCAATAACATATTTGACAAAAATCTGCAAAGGTCATTATTGACATTGTTCTTACATGGGTATACCAAGCACCTTCCATATCTTTTTCATTTTGAGGAAAAGTTATGAGCCCATCACATACTGTATACAATGACATGAGCCTGTATGAAGTACCTTAAGTATGTTTGCTGTTTCCCATTATCAGTTAAACAACTTATTGTTTACATGATTACAACGGAGTACTTGTTTTGGTTTGTTTTAAGGTATATACAGAAGGTAATGTACATGAGGTTATGTACAAGAGGGTCCAAATTTACGCGGAACTTTTAAATAAAAACATTAGGTGCCGGTGTGTTTAAACTGCGGCATTCGTTTTCTTTCTCTATTGCTAAACAATTAAAACATTATACTTGGTTGACTGTTCAGTTGTATGACAGATTTTACCTCACAGACATATCGATATTTTTTTTCTATTTCTTTGTCCAATGATCACATACTTTCCTGAGCAAGGCTGTCTGTATTGTTACGGTCGTTTCCATCAATTTTCAGTTCCTGTTGTTGCCTTTGCCTTTATTTCCAGTCAGTCTTGTACATTGACGCCCAGGAATGTTTTCGTTTTGACACGGCCTTAATTTGTTAGAGTATTCCATTTAAGTTATTGCTTCAAGCAATATCAAGAAGAAAATAACAATGTGTGTTATAGGACCAAAACAACATTTGCTAAATCATTCATTGCTTAAATATACAGCACGACTTTCCACGTATAGCACAACTTGTCTCTCCAATTGTAACACCAGATACAGAAGTAGTGCCACACAAACAGCACAACCTGTCTCTCCTATTGTACCATCAGCCACAGAAGAAGTGCCACACAAACAGCACAACCTTTCTCTCCAATTGTAGCAACAGACACAGAAGTAGTGCCACAAAAGCAGCACAACCTCTCTCTCCAATTGTACCACCAGACACAGAAGTAATGGCACACAAACAGCACAACCTTTCTCTCAAATTGTACCATCAGACACAGAAGTAGTGCCACACAAACAGCACAACCTTTCTCTCCAATTGTACCATCAGACACTGAGGTAGTGCCACACAAACAGCACAACCTTTCTCTCCAATTGTACCAACAGACACAGAAGTAGTGCCACAAAAGCAGCACAACCTCTCTCTCCAATTGTACCACCAGACACAGAAGTAATGGCACACAAACAGCACAACCTTTCTCTCCAATTGTACCATCAGACACAGAAGTAGTGCCACACAAACAGCACAACCTTTCTCTCCAATTGTACCATCAGACACAGAAGTAGTGCCACACAAACAGCACAACCTTTCTCTCCAATTGTACCACCAGACACAGAAGTAGTGCCACACAAACAGCACAACCTTTCTCTCCAATTGTACCACCAGACACAGAAGTAGTGCCACACAAACAGCACAACCTTTCTCTCCAATTGTACCACCAGACACAGAAGTAGTGCCACACAAACAGCACAACCTTTCTCTCCAATTGTACCACCAGACACAGAAGTAGTGCCACACAAACAGCACAACCTTTCTCTCCAATTGTACCACCAGACACAGAAGTAGTGCCACACAAACAGCACAACCTTTCTCTCCAATTGTACCACCAGACACAGAAGTAGTGCCACACAAACAGCACAACCTTTCTCTCCAATTGTACCACCAGACACAGAAGTAGTGCCACACAAACAGCACAACCTTTCTCTCCAATTGTACCACCAGACACAGAAGTAGTGCCACACAAACAGCACAACCTTTCTCTCCAATTGTACCACCAGACACAGAAGTAGTGCCACACAAACAGCACAACCTTTCTCTCCAATTGTACCACCAGACACAGAAGTAGTGCCACACAAACAGCACAACCTTTCTCTCCAATTGTACCACCAGACACAGAAGTAGTGCCACACAAACAGCACAACCTTTCTCTCCAATTGTACCACCAGACACAGAAGTAGTGCCACACAAACAGCACAACCTTTCTCTCCAATTGTACCACCAGACACAGAAGTAGTGCCACACAAACAGCACAACCTTTCTCTCCAATTGTACCACCAGACACAGAAGTAGTGCCACACAAACAGCACAACCTGTCTCTCCAATTGTACCACCAGACACAGAAGTAGTGCCACACAAACAGCACAACCTTTCTCTCCAATTGTACCACCAGACACAGAAGTAGTGCCACACAAACAGCACAACCTTTCTCTCCAATTGTACCACCAGACACAGAAGTAGTGCCACACAAACAGCACAACCTTTCTCTCCAATTGTACCACCAGACACAGAAGTAGTGCCACACAAACAGCACAACCTTTCTCTCCAATTGTACCACCAGACACAGAAGTAGTGCCACACAAACAGCACAACCTTTCTCTCCAATTGTACCACCAGACACAGAAGTAGTGCCACACAAACAGCACAACCTTTCTCTCCAATTGTACCACCAGACACAGAAGTAGTGCCACACAAACAGCACAACCTGTCTCTCCAATTGTACCACCAGACACAGAAGTAGTGCCACACAAACAGCACAACCTTTCTCTCCAATTGTACCACCAGACACAGAAGTAGTGCCACACAAACAGCACAACCTTTCTCTCCAATTGTACCACCAGACACAGAAGTAGTGCCACACAAACAGCACAACCTTTCTCTCCAATTGTACCACCAGACACAGAAGTAGTGCCACACAAACAGCACAACCTTTCTCTCCAATTGTACCACCAGACACAGAAGTAGTGCCACACAAACAGCACAACCTTTCTCTCCAATTGTACCACCAGACACAGAAGTAGTGCCACACAAACAGCACAACCTTTCTCTCCAATTGTACCACCAGACACAGAAGTAGTGCCACACAAACAGCACAACCTTTCTCTCCAATTGTACCACCAGACACAGAAGTAGTGCCACACAAACAGCACAACCTTTCTCTCCAATTGTACCACCAGACACAGAAGTAGTGCTACACAAACACATCATCATGAGAATAACCAATACTTTATTGAGATATCGTACAATTTATCATCGTCATCAATGTACCCATTCACATAAATTGCAGGAACATATTGACATGATTTTGTATCTGTTTAACATTCGAAAGAATTGAACATATATTAATAAACAATCAAAATGTTTATGCAGGTAACATGAAGGTCAAGTGATTGGTACGTTTACCTACGGAAATAATATCTAGAAAAGCTATAGTTAAAAATAGCCAATTTAATAATTAATTACGGGATTCCGTATTCTAAAGAAACAGAAGTAATATGTGCATTGTTTTAATAAAACATCTGATATAAATACTTTTATTCCACTTAAAAACAAATCAAATTATTTCTTGTAATTTTGTAAAATTCATTTGGCAATAAACCGATCTTACACACAAATTTCATACATATGGTATAAGACACGGGTCCCCCATTTGTGTATATGTATATATGTCACCAAATTCTACATATATTGTATTAGACACGTGTATCCTAGTTCTCTATATATGGTATTAGACACGGGTCCCCCATTTCTATATATATGGTATTAGACACGTGTCCCCCATTTATATATATATATGGTATTAGACACGTGTCCCTCATTTATGTATGTGTATATGTGTCACCAAATTCTACATATATGTTATAAGACACGTGTCCCCCATTTATATATATACATATGGTATTAGACACGTGTCCCCATTTATATATACATGGTATTAGACACGTGTCCCTCATTTCTGTATATGTATATATGTCATCAAATTCTACATATATTGTATTAGACACGTGTCTCCTAGTTCTCTGTATATATTGTATTAGACGCGTGTCCTCTATTTCTATATATATGCTATTAAACGCGTGTCCCCCATTTCTATATATATATATGGTATTAGACACGTGTCCCCAATTTCTATATATATGCTGTTAGACTCGTGTCCCCAATTTCTATATATATGCTATTAGACACGTGTTCCAAATTTTTATATATGTATATATATATATATGGTATTAGACACGTGTCCTCTATTTCTATATATATGGTATTAGACGCTTGTCCCCAATTTCTATATATATATATGGTATTAGACACGTGTCTCAATTTATATATATATGCTATTAGACTCGTGTCCCCAATTTCTATATATATGCTATTAGACACGTGTCCCAAATTTGTATATATGTATATATATATATATATGGTATTAGACACGTGTCCTCTATTTCTATATATATATGGTATTAGACACGTGTCCCAATTTATATATATATGCTATTAGACACGTGTCCCCAATTTTTATATATATGCTATTAGACTCGTGTCCCCAATTTCTATATATATGGTATTAGACACGTGTCCTCTATTTCTATATATATGGTATTAGACACGTGTCCCCAATTTCTATATATATGGTATTAGACACGTGTCCTCTATTTCTATATTATATTCTATTAGACACGTGTCCCCAATTTCTATATATATGGTATTAGACACGTGTTCTCTATTTCTATATATATATATATATATGGTATTAGACACGTGTCCCCAATTTCTATATATGGTATTAGGCACGTGTCCTCTATTTCTATATTTATTCTATTAGACACGTGTCCCCCATTTCTCTCTATATATATGGTATTAGACACGTGTCCTCTATTTCTATATTATATTCTATTAGACACGTGTCCCCAATTTCTATATATATGGTATTAGACACGTGTCCTCTATTTCTATATTTATTCTATTAGACACATGTCCCCCATTTCTCTCTATATATATGGTATTAGACACGTGTCCCCGTCCTTATATACATATATATGGTATAACACATGTGCCACTTTTCGGCCGCTTGATTAAACATCTAAACACTTACAACAATGTTAAAGTTTAATATTTAGTTTACCTTATTAGGACCCAAACAACCACAAAACTGTATTTTAACAATAAAACAATGTGATTAATGTCTTCATATCTTGTTTTGGAGGTGCAATCAGGATTGTTTTACTGAGGGTCATGTCTGACCCAATGATGTCATTCCAACGTTGTTGTACCACAAACTTAATTATATGATTTATAATATAAAGGTTTTCATGTATTTGTACCACAGGTCACTGTAACAAGTTAACTTCCAATTAAGTTATGACAAATTAAATCTTTGGATACCACATACAATTTCAAAAGGTACACACATATTTGAAAAATGATATCTTTTTAACCGGCTTTTGTTTGCTCTCTTATTACTGTAAACAAAACACTGGGAAATACCACATTCAATGTCGTATGAGAGGTAAATTCCTATTTTCATTTAGAAAGTGTCAAGGTTAAAAATTCCTTGTGTGCACACATCACTTCCATATTACTTTCAGAAACAAGAGTAAATAATTAAAATGGCAGTTGATACAAAGCTAGTACATGTAAGACGGGGGATAACTCTGTAAGGATAAAATATCTTCAGACTCTAGGAGGTGTTTCTAAATGTACGTCATTTCTTTCTCTCTTTTGTTGGATTGTTTTGCATTACATATACAGAACCTAAATCCTATAAACTATTAAAGTATTTGGTTTAAAGATAATGCAATGAGCAAACATATCTGAATAAAACAAACGGCACAAGGGCCTTAACGGTCACCTAAGTTATAGAAAAACTGATGTTATCGATGTTGCCAAATGAAAAAGAAATCATTTTGTAACACAGGTAACTTGAACTACATGTAATGCAAAAGTAGTGTGAAAGATCAAGGTAGTATATGTACTATGTACAAATAGTGGTTCTGTCAGTCAGAGTGTTGGCCTCCAGAACCTGTGGTCGTGGGTTCGATCCCAGCTGGGGCACCTCATCTTTCCGCTTCTTTCTTGCCTTTTACAGTAGAACGAGCTGTTGGATTTTTTTGGCATATTTGAGTAACGTTACTAGCTAAACAGAAAACAGCTGTCCTATCAAATATCTAATATATTGATTCAACAATGAAGAGTTTTTGTGTATTGTAATTTGCCATTAGGAAGCTTCATTTTTCAATATAACTATAGTAAACTTTACCCCATCCCCAGCGGATCAAGCGCTTTAGGACCCCTGTAGATTACTTGTTTCCAGCAATTCTTGGTCTGGATAAGATTTTTTAATTTAAGACAATTTGACCCCTTTTAGCCCCGCCCCTCAGCCCGTGGGGGCGGGCCCGGGCCCGGGCCCGAGCCCTTACTGTCTGTCAAGTTAGAATAATGTCCAATTGAAAATGAACCAAACATACCCAAAAGTATCATTTTCCTAAAAAAAACTATAGTAAACTTCGCCCCCTTCCCAGGGGTTAACATGGAGTCTGGGGGTCGTGAAATTCACAATTTTGATAAAGCACCTCAAGACCCTTCCATCTATGACAAGAATTGGTTTCCAGCCTATCTCAGTCCCGAGAGGATGACTGCTGAAATTTCAGGCTATATGACCCCATTTTGGCTCCGCACCTCAGCCCCTGGGTATGAGACAGGGTTAAACATGTCAAAGTATCAAACTGTCATCTCTTGGTTATAATGTAAATCAAGTTTGAATGAATTCCAGTAGAAAATGAACAAAGAATACCCAAAAGTTGCATTTTCCATTATAAACTGTTATAGATTGTAGAAATCTTATGTTGAAGATGAAATATAATCTACATTGTGAAATACATTGTCTTCTTTATAAGGACGGACTACATTTTTACGCGGAAGCATTCAAATGTAGCTGAAGTAGTGTAGAGGCCATTTTTATTTGAGGCCCCAGACGGGATACTTGTAGTCTTTAGCAAAAGTGAATAGGATTTTTTCGAACTAAAAGGTGCGAGAAAAAAAATTAATCACCTGTTTCTGAGCAAGATCGGGTTAGTCTCTGACTAAGATTATGTAACATCCCAACTTTGGCTTATGCCTCGGTTGGGATTATGTTACAGAATCTTACCCTTCGGCTGAGATGACCCGATCTCGTTCAGTTACAGGTAATAGATTTTATTAATCTTACACTGGGAATTTTGAGGATACATCTCTCTAGGGTGAAAGGAAAACAATGTAAAATGGACATATCTTACTTATGTTTCGTGCAGTGTATGGATATGATAAATATATGAACATAAAAAAGTATTCAAAATAATTAAAAATGAAATAGACAGGAAAAAATCGCTTTTTCGAAATATCCTATGAACACCCGAAATCCACGAAACATGACATGCATTTTACTGGAAAATAAACCTGATCAGTGCTATTTATATCACAAAGGTTCAAACCCCGTGTACAGTTATTTTCAGGGTTGCCTGGGTGTGTCTGTTTATATATATTATATATAAAATGTGAAAGTATTCGACATGTTTTGATTTATTGACCTATTAAATAATCCAATACAAAAAAAAAAGAAAAATCAGGATGGATAATGTTTCATACAATCTGTTAAAACGCGAAAAATATAAACACTAATGGTAATACATTTATTTTAAGTGGGAATATTGGCGGTGTGAAAAAATCGCTCTCACAAAATCCGAATATGTACATTCATTAAAATAGTTACTAACGCGTTTTGAAATACATATTGCGACACAAAGTCACTATACCTTTTTCGCCGGCCCAGTAGTTTGAAGGAAAGCAAATATTCCCACCTCAACAGTTCTTAACCGTTCAAACATTTTACAATAAAGGAGAAAAACTTCTATAGTTTATGTCTGTTGTCTAATTATTTCAATAATTTAACCAATACTTTTTTTGCGACAAACACACTAACAATAATGTATACATGTATGTACAGTGGAACTATAAACATATTGTAATGTTTACTGTATACTTAAACATGTTTGATAAATAAAATATCAACCGTTTACCTTTAACACTTTTATAAGTCTAGTGATGATTTCTCCTTTCAACGTTGATTTACTGTATGTATTTCAGTACATGAAATCGCCCTCATGGCAATCTCACTTTCTTTCCGGGGGAGGAACAGTGATAAACATGCCTTGTATACTATTTATTTACTACAAAGGTTAAAAACTAGCATGGTCTATGAGCAAGTATATAAGACATGTCACAATTTATAAATCATTTATTTACACAGTGAAAAAATGTTGATGATTAATTAATATTCCTTTTACACTTACTGGACTGCCACATGACAAAAGTGTTTCAAATCCGAAATACCTCTCAAGTATATGTAGAAATGAGAACGATATCGTGCATTAAACCACTAGTATTTATCTGGGAACGGGATAATTTAATTTAAATTTTAGTATTTATATAGGAACGGGATAAACGTTTTCATTTCAAATGTCTAAATGCAAATAGTAATCAGAATACGGATGTTAGGACAAATTTCAGACGTAAGTAAAAACTTTGTTATGAACAAAGTTTTGTAAACATGTTCTTGACGACAGCACAATGAACAGATATAAATATGAATGTCAACACATGGAGATATCAACTCCGTGTAAGCAGCAGGCTACCTCTCTCAAGAATTGATGTTTTTCTTCATTGAATACGTTGACACCGATAGTTTCGGTAAACGTGAGACTAATAGGGTCAGAATCAACCTCACCTACCAGTAACATAGACATCATCTCTTTGCAGATTCCGAGCTCCAGCTGTTTCCTATTCAAAACCTTGATTTCGTCATGCATATTTTCTCTGATGCATGCGCTAATCGCTGTTTCTCCTTCATCATCTTTACAAATAGGACTCATGCCGAAATTGAGGAATAAGTCCATCCGGCAAAGCCTTTCTAACTTGCAGCAGGCTAATTTACCTGTCAAACTCCTGACAGTGTTGTGTATCGGTGATCGACCAAGACGGTCTACTGTCTTGATTTTACAGTCAGCAGTAAGCAACAGGATAATACTGAAGATTCTACTGAATGAAACATGACATGCAGCAATATCCAAAGCAGAACGTTCATCCCCATCTTGCCAATTAATCTGACTTTTTGGTAGAAGCAATTGCAGAAATGCGCAGGTGTTTTGGTCGGACCAGGTCCCTGCTACACAGTGGTGCAGTGCTATCTTGTTTTCTCTGTCAGGTATATTAGGATCTGCTCCGTTTTCTAACAAAACTGGTGAGAAACTTCCCCTGACAAACTGCAGATGCCAGCGCTGTCGTGTGATAGGCATCAACAGCATTGATATACATACTGTTGTTGTTCACAAGGGCTATCACGACATCTCTGGTTTCTACATCATTACGTTTGGATCTAACACATAGATGTAATGCCGACTCCTTCCTCGCTAGCATATGTCCCCTGGCACCGTTTGACAACAGACAGGAAACGATCGATCCTGGATATTCCTCCCTGCATGCATAAAACAATGGGGATAATCCCTCTGAATTCACATGGTTGATATCATGTCCAAAAGGCAGGAAAGAGACCACAAGATCATGGAATTCTCGAAAATGGCTTGCCTTCCGAATGAGATAATGAAAAACTGAATAGCCTAATTTATCTGCTATTTTGAATAATGGAATGTTTGCTCTGTGCATTGCATCAACAACATTTGGATCTAGTTTGTCGTGTTTTATAAGCTCCGATATAACACCGGTGCAAAGTTCACCTGTAGAATATTTCAACATTAGGGCAATTGTCTTGCATCGTGACAATGAATGTTGAATAGATGTGAATAGTGGTGACAGACCAGTGACGTCGGGTTTGTTTGTAGATAGTCCTCCTTGTCGAATCAACAGTTGAGCTAGTTCCCGCACCTCGTCATCAGTCATGCAACTTCTAATGCACTGCTGGAGTACTCCTATCTTCCCTGCTGGTAAGCAAATGTCGTGTTCTTCACAACCACACAAAGACAATATGAATTTCACGGTATTGAACCGTGATCTACTGGCACTAAATGCCAGCATCAGTGGACTTAAACCGCACGCATTGTAAATGGAAACAGATACGTGGAAATCATTGATCATGACTTGAGTGAAATTCAAAACTTCCTCATCTGTTAGCATTGATTGCATTAAATAATGTAATGCCGTGTTGCCTTCTTCATCTTTGAGGGAGAGGTCAGGTTCCATGTTTAGAAGACGCCACACAATTCTACTGCTAGTACAGCTAACAACTGGCTCCGCCAAATAGGCCATTATAGCGTTTCTGCCTTTGGCGTTCTTCATGTTAAGTGATGTTGCATTCTTTGAATAGTGTTTGTTAAATGCGGCAAGAAGTTCCTCTCCGTTTCGTGTATCCACATAACAGCAATAATGCAGAATTGTGTTTTGCTGACTGTCTGTGTCCTCAACATCGACATTCCACTCTAGCAATGTGTTCACAATCTTCAAATACAAGTGCTTAACAGCTTTTGCTATAGGTTTAACTTTGCGGTCGTCCTCTCTGTTCGGGTCCGAACCAAACTCTTTCAGGGTTGCCATGATTTCCAACATGTCTTCTTCTGGTATCAGAGATTCCACGCAAACATGGAACAAAGATTTTGGTAAAGCATTCTCCTTTTGAAGTATTTCGAGCAGCCGTCTGAGAGTGTTAATGCGATGTCGACCTTGCGATATACATAATTTAACAGGAGTCACACCCATAATGTCTTTACACCTGATGTTTGGTCCTGTCAGAGTTTTCACAAAATCAAGAACCCATGCATCGGGATGCAGTGATAGGATGGCTAAATGCAGCGCGGTTTTACCATCATAATCTGTTACATCTGCATTCGCATTTTGAAGCAACATTTGAGACAAAATGTTGTTGCTCTTTCCAAGTGTGACAGCTTTAGCCAGTGGGGTGTGTCCACATTTGTCCTTTTCATTAAGCATGTCGAACTCCATATTTGCTAGTATTGACAACGTACGTTGTTCCATTTCAGGGTCAAGCGAGGATTCAAGAACCATGTGGCAAGAGTTTTCACATTGATCACCTTTTGGAAGTTTCCTGCCGTGTAATATGGTATCTTTAAATGCAGAGTATAAACTATCGTCTATTCCGATCAATAACAGACAATCAAAGAAGAAATAATTTCTGTCAAGCTCTCGGCTAGAATCAAGTTTCAATGATCTTTCTACGAATTCTTCCATCCTTGAATTCACAGTAATTGCTTTATCTCTACAACACAAGGAGAGGGTCCTGATGAACGAAACGTTACATAAAAATGTATCCTGCTTTTCAGCGGCTACTTTTAGAAAATCCCAAAATTTCCATTTACTGTGTGGAATCGTGGAACCAGACTCCAGTAAAAAATGAACTACATCTTGATCTTTTGACTCAACCGCACATTCTAGCGGAGATTGATGCTTTTCTTCGGATTCTTTCTTACAACTTTTGCAAAAGCTTAAATCAGCCTCCTTGTACGCAGCGAGTACCTGAACTATTGCAAGATTCCCTTTGATCCGACAGGCATCGAGCAAAGTGTGGGATACAAAGCTGCTGAAATCATCAGCGAAAGATTGAGATATTTGTAGGCTTTCTACTATTGCCTTACACAGAACCAGCAAACGATTCTTTGCACACTTTTTCAGTATTGAGAGCACAATACTTCGGTGGCCTGGCTCTTTCTCAAGTCTCTCGAAGAGAATACGAGCAAAGAGGTCTGCAAAACATTTGTCATTCCAAATTGTTAGTTTAGAGCTCCAAATGCTTTCGCCGACATTTTTATTGAAAATGTCATTCAGAACTTTTTCAGCAACACAGGTTTGATCTTTTGAAGAATTTGTCGTAAAAAGGCAATTTTCTTCTAATCCAGGATTGATTGCGATACAGCGGACTAGAATTTCGGACTTAAAAAATGCTAGTGCCTTTGTGAAATTTGTTTCCAACAGCCAAATTTGTGCGGCATGTTCGACTGTGTCATTGCTGAATGAAAATGCTTTTGGTGTGTGAGGTATTCTATGAACGAGAGTACCTTGTTGGGACAGTTGGTCTCCTATTTCGGCTAGATCACTGATTTCTATTTCTGCCTTTTCCATCCTTTCTTTCATATCTCCTTGTTTAAATACTGTACCTGGGTTCACAAAAGACAAAGGTGAGGATACATCTTGTTGGAGTAATAACTCAAAGAATACCCTGTGTGCTGAATATTCTGTCTGCGAAAGACACCTTAATTCTCCAAGAAAATAATCTATTGGGTAACGAAAAAAATTTGATCCCTTCGAATAGTATTTTTCCTCTGATGTGAAGAGGAAACAAGCTAGGGGAAATTCCAGTGAACACTTGATATTCACAATTTCGTTTATTTTCCTTTCATTCAGACGAGCTGAAGACTCTTTGGAACATCGGTCAAGATGTGACCTCAAGATGCTCTTTTTTTCCTCTGTTGACATTTCAAATTCTCTGGCTGATAAATTGACCAGGTGCTGTAAGCCTACGAGATGGGTTGTATTAGCAGATGTGATAATAAGATATCTTTTTGAATTTGTCTTGAAAATATCTTTTCCTAGATTCTTTATCAATGCCTTTGTGTTTTTTTCGATGAATACATCCTGCAATAGTACTATTACAGTCTTGTGTGATTTCGTTTTGAAACACTTTCTGACATCGCACATTCTATCTAAAATATGCGTTTGGCATTCTGATTTTGACATCAAGGAAAATAGTAAATGGTGAGCAAGTCTCTCTTTCCCATTACCCTTACGTCCAGCAATTATTACCATGTTGTTTTCAGTCATTTTTTTCATCGCTGTTTCCGTGCCTTTGGTTTCAACAAAGTATTCTTCGTCCTTTTGACTTGCTGCGAGTGTCTCCCTCATTGCATCTGCAAACATTTTTTCAACAATTTGACAATAATAATAAAAATATATGAAAACAACTCTTTCAACAAAATAAACGTTATGTATTTCAAAGGTTTTCATTAGACATTTCCAATCAGAAGCCTTCTGGTGTGTTCAGAGAGCGACCACATGAAAGGGAAAAGTTTGGGGTCTTTCAAAGATAAAAATGTTTGCATCCAGTCATCAAAAAGTGCAACAAAGAATTTGACTATCTTAATATTTTGTTATTTAGGAAACACTTTTCTAAAACCACTGTGTCCCGGTAGGACCACGTTACGGACCCTCCATAAATATTTGCTATTTCACGTTCTTGTCCGAGAACACACTGATGTAATTGGAAATGTCTAATCGTCACACGTGAAGCTGATCTTAGCAAACTCTTACTAACACAGTTTTATATAATACACACAAATGATGATCATCCTGATTAAATTAAGTAATGTAACTAGCTCTATTTCTTTATAACATTTGAATATGTACTTCAAATATATCGTTTATAACATGATTTATCTCATTTTCAATTGTTCATTTGTTTTATAATATATAACTCGATAACTGCACGTTTTGGTGCGAGACCTAATTGGTCACCATAATAACCATAGCATAACACGGTGTTGTTTCCGAAAAAATAGTTATTCATCATTCAATTAACTGGTCTGTTTAAAATGTATCGAGCTCCAAAAGAAACAATACAGAGATACTTTTTTGATGAATTTGAACGTTAATATAAGTTTAAAGGTGTTTTCCAACACAGTTCGCCGGGATGTGTTACTGCAGCGGAAATTTACAGCATAAACAAAATACATCTCGATCCCTTACTAACGGGTAACATTTACCTTCAATAGCATTTATATTACGCTGCAGTAATGGAACCGGTTCCTCGGGGTCTGTACTTGACGCTACATTTGAAATAATGCAAATTATTAGTTCACAGGAGTAATTAAAATATTCGTATATCAGTATTCATACCATTTACAACTCATCAGATTATCATTAGAGTTATCTCCCATCTACTAAATGATCGATCTCAGAGCAGAGTTGGCCTCATTGATTGCCATATTTGTAGTTCAAATAGTTCAAAGCAGTGTAATATTTTCCGACAAATCTTATTTTTGAAAAAGTCACCAGTGAGTGGATAACTCATAAGGAAGCAGAAAAACTTTACCTTTATAGAGTTCTTCGAGTTTGCGATGAACCTCCACGAGTTCTTGCTGGTGTGTTTTCCATTGACTAAATAGATCTGTCATTAAAAGAAACATTATAATTGTTGTAAGTAGTGATACCATCTAAATAGTATAGGGGTTAGCCATGCCTCCATAATCTACGTTTCATTAACTTTTCTATATTCTTCCACTCCTCAAGCATTGAATTATGGGAAATTTTGCTTTATCATGATACCATTATGTCTGAAAAGAATAATACGTGTTGTCAATAAAGGCAAAGTCTATTTGCGATTTTCTAGGCCAACTTGTTTCTTACACGAGGTTTATCAATACGAGATTGACTTACCATGTTACATGTATATATGTTATAAGATTTGCTATGAACAACAAGACCTACCTGTCATATCAGTCTGCTTCGCCAGTGCATCTTTCAGTTGGACAATCTGTTTCTCGAGGTTGACGGATTTTGTTTCTAGCTCGATTACTCTCGGAGGCATTGATGTTTGAGACAGTGACGCGTTCGTTAGACGCCGCACACGCTTGGAATATGTGTTTGGTATACGAAGTAACATTTCCATTCGCAAAATCACATCTGTAACTTCGTCAACTTTTGTTTGAAAGTCAGCATCGTTGATAGAGGCGCTGGCTGAATGTGAACAATCATTCCGAAATAGACGCAGTTTCTCTATGGAAGACATTAAACATTTAGCGCCAGGTTTTGGTGATGCTAGCCACTTTTCGTTTGGTGCAATCTGCTCGGAAAGAGCATATCTAGCAACTTTGTACATTGCAGAAAAATCCAATTGTTCATACTTTACTGTAGCTCCATCATTTGGAAATAAAAGCATTCCTTCGCGAGTGTACTGAGCCACCTTGTCCCGTAATATCTTGCTGCCATGGATGGTGTTATGCAAATCAATATCAGTGGGGCCCTTAGGATTTCTGTTGCGAATAATTTCACGCATAACATCTTGACAAATATTTGTTGAAACAAGAACAAGTTTTGCAAAGTTTGACTCCTTTAAATCTAGTGATACATTGTCAATACGACCGTTACTACCTTCAGACCAAGATCTCTTGTATATAGTAGCAACTTGTGACCCTCTGAGATATTGATTGTTTTCTTCTACGTCGCTTGCACTATCGTCAAGCACTAGTGTGTTTGCTTCAGTCGGTACTTCAAATGGAGTGAGCAATTGCTGATCCACACCTTGATTCTCTGGATCCAAATCCTCATCATTACCTTCTTCGGGGTATTTCGCAGCCATTTCTGCTGTTACCTGCGACAAAAGGGCACCCTGTTAATAGGTAGATGTCATATCATAGGGCTTTCTATAATTGTTACCTTATATATAGTGCTGTAATTGTTATTCATTCACTGAATTATATCTTACCAAGCCGGCTATTCATCGTAATATATCTCGCATAGCCAATACAACTACTCATGAATTATCGGTCAAAATATAATGGAATTTTGGCAATTTATGATAAACATTTTTTTATACTTATATCATAATATTGTATATGACATTCACATACATAACATTAAATCGTCTCAAATGGTTACCCTGCGTTTCTATATATATAAATATAGATTTTGGTTCTTTAAAGCGTACAAACACCTAATTGATATTTTATTTCTGGTGTCTTTTGTGTATAAAACCTGCCTTAATACAACATCGCCACTGCATAACGAATTTACTGGTCCATAATACTTGTTGCTTTACAAGTTACAAAACATCGGCATAATAAAAATAGATAATTTTGTAGATAATATTTGTATCTGTATTGACTCTTTGATAGACTCCATTGAAAACAAAGGAGGTGACAATAGAATTACCTACGGAATTTGACAAAGTGTTGATATGAATACCACTGCTGCATAACATCTGCACGTAATTATACAAAATGTAAAGGACGATATCCGATATTGTCTTCAATTAGAAGGAACAGCACGTCCATCGTTGACGCTTTCGTTATCGTTATTTATTCGTGTGTGCAGAGATGAAGACTGTCCGATGTACAGTCATTACATGTACAACAACCCAAATATTCCCTGATCTTATCTGTGTCACTTGATCAGCTTTGTGGCATTTATACAACTTGACAGGTAAAGGTTTGTCGACTAAATAATGGGTTTACGCGTAGCTATTTATCAGGTACACACCTATTATTATTACGGCTCTCATATATATTTAAAGTTCTCTTCAACTGGTGTAGCGTAATATAATACGTATTCGTTTGTCGCAAACATTATCTTTCATGTGGTTGTAAGGTAGATTTAATCTAATCATTGTTTACCAGACTGTTCATTGTGGTTTTCTGATTTGCTGCACAATTTTGTGCATATCACGACTGTCTGTTCATAGCTTAATGTGATGGCACATATTGTGACCTCACCGCACATTAACAATCAATAGTGGAGAAACAGTTTGTTTACAATAGTGAAATAGGTTCCAGAACAGGTGTAAAGGGGAGAGCTACAAAACCTTGAATTTGTCTTTTCTAAAGCAGGAGGCACTTTATAAGAGAATACGCAAGGCCCGATAACGCAAAAAAGGAGGTAGGAAACGATAAAGGATTAATGAGGGTGTAATGTCATAGCCACAAATCGATCTCATAGCGATACATACACGCATTACGTTTTTATATTAATTTAACAGAATGGGAAAAGGGGTGACAGTTTGCAGGGGGGATGGGGATAGAAAAGAAAAAGATCTCTCTTGTCTGGTCCATATTTGACTTTTTGATCTTAAATATGTGAATTTTGGCTTTATAGTACACTTGAACATTTTTAAAACCAAAAGTCTACAGCGTTACAAGAATTTAGCTTGTGTGAGACAGGACCTGATGTTTACAGGTTACGGGATCAAAGGGATAAACTTCAAAGGGAACTTTCACACAAGCTTTAATCTTATGAGATCGTATGTTATACTAAACGTTTAAGATAGGCACGTAATATATCGCAAGCATACTTGAAAAAGCTGTGACAGATTTTTTTTATTAAGGGTTTACTATGAGTTCGGGTTAGAAAGCTAGGACCGCGGGGGTTTACTCGTGGTACTGTTAGGTAGGGTAAGAAAGCTAGGACCGCGGGGGTTTACTCGTGGTACTGTAAGGTAGGGTTATAAAGCTAGGACCGCGGGGGTTTACACGTGGTACTGTAAGGTAGGGTTAGAAAGCTGGGACCGCGGGGGTTTACTGGTGGTACTGTTAGGGAGGGTTAGAAAGCTAGGACCGCGCGGGTTTACTCATGGTACTGTTAGGTAGTGTTAGACAACTAGGACCGCGGGGGTTAACTCATGGTAATGTTAGGTAGGGTTAAAAAGCTAGAACTTTGCGGTTTTACTCGTGTTACTGTTAGGTAGGGTTAGAAAGCTGGGACCGCGGGGGTTTACTCGTTGTACTGTTAGGTAGGGTTAGAAATCTAGGAACATAGGGGGGGTTAGAAAGCTAGTACCGCGGGGGTTTACTCATGGTACTGTTAGGTAGTGTTAGACAACTAGGACCGCGGGGGTTTACTGGTGGTACTGTGAGGTAGGTTTAGAAAGCTAGGACCGCGGGGGCTTACTCATGGTACTGTTAGGGAGGGTTAGAAAGCTAGGACCGCGCGGGTTTACTCATGGTACTGTTAGGGAGGGTTAGAGAGCTAGGACCGCGGGGGTTTACTCATACTGTTAGGTAGGGTTAGACAACTAGGACCGCGGGGGCTTACTCATGGTAATGTTAGGTAGGGTTAAAAAGCTAGAACTTTGCGGTTTTACTCGTGTTACTGTTAGGTAGGGTTAGAAAGATAGGACCGCGGGGGTTTACTCATACTGTTAGGTAGGGTTAGACAACTAGGACCGCGGGGGTTTACTGGTGGTACTGTTAGGGAGGGTTAGACAACTAGGACCGCGGGGGTTTACTCATGGTACTGTTAGGTAGGGTTAGACAACTAGGACCGCGGGGGTTTACTCATGGTAATGTTAGGTAGGGTTAAAAAGCTAGAACTTTGCGGTTTTACTCGTGTTACTGTTAGGTAGGGTAAAAAAACTAGGAGCTTGGGAGTTTACTGGTTATACTGTTAGGAAAAATTAGAAAGCTCGGAGCTCGGGGGGTTTACTCGTGGTACTATTAGGTAGTGTTTACAATTTAGAATCCTGCGGGTTTACTCGTAGTACTGTTAGGTAGGGTTAGAAAGCTAAGAGCTTGCAGGTTTACTCGTAGAACTGTTAGGTAGGGTTAGAAAGCTAAGAGCTCGGGAGTTTACTCTTGGTACTATTAGGTAGGGATAGAAAGCTTGTAGCACGGGGTTTACTCTTGGTACTGTTAGGTAGATTTATAAAGCTAGGAGCATGGAGGTTTACTGGTGGTACTGTTAGGTAGGTTTAGAAAGCTAGGAGTATGGGGCTTTACTGTTGGTACTGTAAGGTAGGTTTAGAAAGCTAGGAGTATGGGGGTTTACTCTTGGTACTGTAAGGTAGGTTTAGAAAGCTAGGAGTATGGAGCTTTGCTGTGGTACTGTTATGTAAGGTTGGTAGGCTAGAAGAATGGTGGTTTACCGGTCGTACTGTTAGGTAGGGTTAGAAATCTAGGAACATAGGGGTCTACATATGTTACTGGAAGTAAGTGTTAGAAAGCTAGGAATATGGGGTTATACTGGTGGTATTGCTTGGTAGTGTAAGAAAGCTATTAGAATGGGGGGTTACTTGTGGTACTGTTAGGTTAAGTTAGAAAGCTAGGAGCTTGGGAGTTTACTGGTGGTACTGTAAGGTGGGGTTAGAAAGCTAGGACAGCGGGGGTTTACTCGTGGTACTGTTAGGTAGGGTTAAAAAGCTAGGAGCATGGGAGTTTCCTTTTTTACTGTTAGGTAGAATTAGAAAGCTATGTGTACGGGGGGTTACTCTTCGAACTGTTAGGTAGATTTATAAAGCTAGTAACATGGGGGTTTACTTGTGGTACTGTTAGGTGGGTTTAGAAAGCTAGGAGCTCAGGAGTTTACTCGTGGTACTATTAGGTTGGATTGGAAAGCTAGGAGCTTTCAGGTTTACTCGTGGTACTGTTAGGTAGGTTAAGAAAACTAGGAGCTTGGAAGTGTCCTTTTTTACTGTTAGGAAGAATTTGAAAGCTGGGAGCACGGGGGTTTACTCTTCGTACTGCTAGGTAGATTTATAAAGCTAGTAGCATGGGGGTTTACTTGTGGTACTGTTAGGTAGGGTACGAAAGCTAGGAGCTCGAGAGTCTACTCATGGTACTATTAGGTAGGGTTGGCAAACTAGGAGTATGGGGTTTACTGTTGGTACAGTAAGGTAGGTTTAGAAAGCTAGGACCGCGGGGGTTTACTCATGGTACTGTAAGGTAGAGTTAGAAAGCTAGGACCGCGGGGGTTTACTCATGGTACTGTTAGGTAGGGTTAGAAAGCTGGGACCGCTGGGGTTTACTCATGGTACTGTTAGGTAGGTTTAGAAAGCTTTGAGTTTGGTGGTTTACTGTTGGTACTGTTATGTAAGGTTGGTAGGCTGGAAGAATGGTGGTTTACCGGTCGTACTGTTAGGTAGGGTTAGAAATCTAGGAACATAGGGGTTCTACTGGTGGTATTGTTTGGTAGTGTAAGAAAGCTATTAGAATGCGGGTTTACTTGTGATACTGTTAGGTTGGGTTAGAAATCTAGGAACATGGGGGTTTGCTGGTGGTACTGTTAGGTTGGGTTAGAAAGCTAGGAACATGGGGTTCTACTGATGGTATTGTTTGGTAGTGTTAGAAAGCTATTAGAATGGGGGTTTACTGGTGGTACTATTAGGTTGGGTTAGAAAGCTAGGAACATGGGGGTTTACTGGTGGTATTGTTTGGTAGTGTGAGAAAGCTATTAGAGTGGGGGTTTACTTGTGGTACTGTTAGGTTGGGTTAGAAAGCTAGGCATATGGGGGTTTACTGGTGGTACTATCAAGTAGAATTATAAAGCTGTCTAGTTGAATGATTAGGTATATTATACCGCCTACCCTGTTGCGCGGTATACCTATAGTAATCAAAGATCTATAACCGGATGAGGAAGCAAGATATTGAAGGTGACATAACAATCACTCCAACACCACTACACATGTTTCACAATTAATTCGGCATTTCCCTGCCGACCTACATATTCACCTTCCTAATAAAAATGCATTCAAATTAAAACAACACTCTGAAATATTAATGTATAATTATAATCCAACACTTTAAACATGTTATTCCCTTTGTTATCAGTGTCAATGAATGTAGAAGTAAACTGGTAATAGCAGATTTGTGTTCCACCAGGTAGTTTGTTCCGCTCGGCTGTACAAGTTTGTACGTATATGGGGTACAGGATACATAGCCTATGCGTATGTAGTGACAGACATGAGGTTAATCCAGTACCTACCTTTAACGTCCGGGTATTGTTCAATCAATATTTTCGTCGTTTGTTGTCCTGTATTGTTCTGTTGCAGTTGGTAGAAAAGTTGTCAATTTCAGTATATGCATACTGATGTAGTTTATTCCTTCAAATTAGGAATTTGGCTGGCAGAACCAGACAAGCAGCAGATACACGCACAATTTTAGTTATCCGTTTTGCACCCGGATTACTGTTTCTGAGAAGTCATCTGTGCACTTTAACATTTGGCCTATTTAGAGGCCAATGGTAAAAGATTTATGTAATAGCGGCCCTATGAAGGGTGTATACGTACATCTGTACAGAAAGACTTATGTAATAGAGGCCCTATGAAGGGTGTATACGTACATCTGTATAGAAAGACTTATCTAATAAGGGCCCTATGAAGGGTGTATACGGACATCTGTACAGAAAGACTTATGTAATAGAGGCCCTATGAAGGGTGTATACGGACATCTGTACAGAAAGACTTATGTAATAGGGGACCTATGAAGGGTATATACGTACATCTGTACAGAAAGACTTATGTAATAGGGGCCCTATGAAGGGTGTATACGGACATCTGTACAGAAAGACTTATGTAATAGGGGCCCTATGAAGGGTGTATACGGACATCTGTACATAAAGATTTATGTAATAGGGGACCTATGAAGGGTGTATACGTACATATGTACCGAAAAACTTAGGTAAATGAGGCCCTATGCAGGGTGTATACATATATCTGTACAGAAAGACTTATGTAAATGAGGCCCCATGAAGGGTGTTTACGGACATGTAATAGGGGCCCTATGAAAGGTGTATACGTACATCTGTACAGAAAGACTTATGTAATAGGGGCCCTATGGAGGGTATATACGGACATCTGTACATAAAGATTTATGTAATAGGGGACCTATGAAGGGTGTATACGTACATATGTACCGAAAAACTTAGGTAAATGAGGCCCTATGCAGGGTGTATACATATATCTGTACAGAAAGACTTATGTAAATGGGCCCTATGAAGGGTGTATACAGACATCTGTACAGAAAGACTTATGTAATAGAGGCCCTATGAATGGTGTATACGTACATCTGTACAGAAAGACTTATCTAATAAGGGCCCTATGAAGGGTGTATACGGACATCTGTACAGAAAGACTTCTGTAATAGGGGCCCTATGAAGGGTATATACGGACATCTGTACATAAAGATTTATGTAATAGGGGCCCTATGAAGGGTGTATACGTACATCTGTACCGGAAAACTTATGTAAATGAGGCCCTATGCAGGGTGTATACGTTCATCTGTACAAAAAGACTTATGTAAATGAGGCCCCATGAAGGGTGTTTACGGACATCTGTATAGAAAGACTTATGTAATAGGGGCCCTATGAAAGGTGTATACGTACATCTGTACAGAAAGACTTATGTAATAGGGGCCCTATGAAGGGTGTATACGGACATCTGTACAGAAAGACTTATGTAATAGGGGCCCTATGAAGGGTGTATACGTACATCTGTACAGAAAGACTTATGTAATAGGGGCCCTATGAAGGGTGTATACGGACATCTGTACAGAAAGACTTATGTAATAGGGGCCCTATGAAGGGTGTATACGGACATCTGTACAGAAAGACTTATGTAATAGGGGCCCTATGAAGGGTGTATACGGACATCTGTACAGAAAGACTTATGTAAATGAGGCCCTATGAAGGGTGTATACGTACATCTGTACAGAAAGACTTATGTAATAGGGGCCCTATGAAGGGTGTATACGGACATCTGTACAGAAAGACTTATGTAATAGGGGCCCTATGAAGGGTGTATACGGACATCTGTACAGAAAGACTTATGTAATAGGGGCCCTATGAAGGGTGTATACGGACATCTGTACAGAAAGACTTATGTAATAGGGGCCCTATGAAGGGTGTATACGGACATCTGTACAGAAAGACTTATGTAAATGAGGCCCTATGAAGGGTGTATACGTACATCTGTACAGAAAGACTTATGTAATAGGGGCCCTATGAAGGGTGTATACGGACATCTGTACAGAAAGACTTATGTAATAGGGGCCCTATGAAGGGTGTATACGGACATCTGTACAGAAAGACTTATGTAAATGAGGCCCTATGAAGGGTATATACGAACATCTGTACAGAAAGACTTATGTAATAGGGGCCCTATGAAGGGTGTATACGGACATCTGTACAGAAAGACTTATGTAAATGAGGCCCTATGAAGGGTGTATACGTACATCTGTACAGAAAGACTTATGTAATAGGGGCCCTATGAAGGGTGTATACGGACATCTGTACAGAAAGACTTATGTAATAGGGGCCCTATGAAGGGTGTATACGGACATCTGTACAGAAAGACTTATGTAAATGAGGCCCTATGAAGGGTGTATACGTACATCTGTACAGAAAGACTTATGTAATAGGGGCCCTATGAAGGGTTTATACGGACATCTGTACAGAAAGACTTATGTAATAGAGGCCCTATGAAGGGTGTATACGTACATCTGTACAGAAAGACTTATGTAATAGGGGCCCTATGAAGGGTTTATACGGACATCTGTACAGAAAGACTTATGTAATAGAGGCCCTATGAAGGGTGTATACGTACATCTGTACAGAAAGATTTATGTAAATGAGGCCCTATGAAGGGTATATACGAACATCTGTACAGAAAGACTTATGTAATAGGGGCCCTATGAAGAGTGTATACGGACATCTGTACAGAAAGACTTATGTAAATGAGGCCCTATGAAGGGTATATACGAACATCTGTACAGAAAGACTTATGTAATAGGGGCCCTATGAAGGGTATATACGTACATCTGTACAGAAAGACTTATGTAATAGGGGCCCTATGAAGGGTGTATACGGACATCTGTACAGATTAACTTGTGTAATAGGGGCCCTATGAAGGGTATATACGAACATCTGTACAGAAAGACTTATGTAAATGAGGTCTATGAAGGGTATATACGGACATCTGTACAGAAAGATTAATGTAATAGGGGCCCTATGAAGGGTGTATACGTACATCTGTACAGAAAGACTTATGGAATAGGAGCCCTATGAAGGGTGTATACGGACATCTGTACAGAAAAGACTTATGTAAATGAGGCCCTATGAAGGGTGTATACGTACATCTGTACAGAAAGACTTATGTAATGGGGGCCCTATGAAGGGTTTATACGGACATCTGTACAGAAAGACTTATGTAATAGGGGCCCTATGAAGGGTGTATACGGACATCTGTACAGAAAGACTTATGAAAATGAGGCCCTATGAAGGGTGTATACGTACATCTGTACAGAAAAGACTTATGTAATAGAGGCCCTATGAAGGGTGTATACGTACATCTGTACAGAAAGACTTATGTAATAGGGGCCCTATGAAGGGTTTATACGGACATCTGTACAGAAAGACTTATGTAATAGAGGCCCTATGAAGGGTGTATACGTACATCTGTACAGAAAGATTTATGTAAATGAGGCCCTATGAAGGGTATATACGAACATCTGTACAGAAAGACTTATGTAATAGGGGCCCTATGAAGAGTGTATACGGACATCTGTACAGAAAGACTTATGTAAATGAGGCCCTATGAAGGGTGTATACGTACATCTGTACAGAAAGACTTATGTAATAGGGGCCCTATGAAGGGTTTATACGGACATCTGTACAGAAAGACTTATGTAATAGAGGCCCTATGAAGGGTGTATACGTACATCTGTACAGAAAGATTTATGTAAATGAGGCCCTATGAAGGGTATATACGAACATCTGTACAGAAAGACTTATGTAATAGGGGCCCTATGAAGAGTGTATACGGACATCTGTACAGAAAGACTTATGTAAATGAGGCCCTATGAAGGGTGTATACGTACATCTGTACAGAAAGACTTATGTAATAGGGGCCCTATGAAGGGTTTATACGGACATCTGTACAGAAAGACTTATGTAATAGAGGCCCTATGAAGGGTGTATACGTACATCTGTACAGAAAGACTTATGGAATAGGAGCCCTATGAAGGGTGTATACGGACATCTGTACAGAAAAGACTTATGTAAATGAGGCCCTATGAAGGGTGTATACGTACATCTGTACAGAAAGACTTATGTAATGGGGGCCCTATGAAGGGTTTATACGGACATCTGTACAGAAAGACTTATGTAATAGGGGCCCTATGAAGGGTGTATACGGACATCTGTACAGAAAGACCTATGAAAATGAGGCCCTATGAAGGGTGTATACGTACATCTGTACAGAAAAGACTTATGTAATAGAGGCCCTATGAAGGGTGTATACGTACATCTGTACAGAAAGACTTATGTAATAGGGGCCCTATGAAGGGTTTATACGGACATCTGTACAGAAAGACTTATGTAATAGAGGCCCTATGAAGGGTGTATACGTACATCTGTACAGAAAGATTTATGTAAATGAGGCCCTATGAAGGGTATATACGAACATCTGTACAGAAAGACTTATGTAATAGGGGCCCTATGAAGAGTGTATACGGACATCTGTACAGAAAGACTTATGTAAATGAGGCCCTATGAAGGGTATATACGTACATCTGTACAGAAAGACTTATGTAATAGGGGCCCTATGAAGGGTTTATACGGATATCTTACAGAAAGACTTATGTAATAGAGGCCCTATGAAGGGTATATACGTACATCTGTATAGAAAGACTTATGAAAATGAGTCCCTATGAAGGGTATATACGTACATCTGTACAGAAAGACTTATGTAATAGAGGCCCTATGAAGGGTGTATACGTACATCTGTACAGAAAGACTTATGAAAATGAGGCCCTATGAAGGGTATATACGTACATCTGTACAGAAAAGACTTATGTAAATGAGGCCCTATGAAGGGTGTATACGTACATCTGTACAAAAAGACTTATGTAATAGGGGCCTTAAGAAGGGTATATACGTACATCTGTACAGAAAAACTTATGTAATAGAGGCTCTATGAAGGGTGTATACGTACATCTTAACAGAAAGACTTATGTAAATGAGGCCCTATGAAGGGTATATACGAACATCTGTACAGAAAGACTTATGTAATAGGGGCCCTATGAAGGGTGTATATGGACATCTGTACAGAAAGACTTATGTAAATGAGGTCCTATGAAGGGTATATACGTACATCTGTACAGAAAGACTTATGTAATAGAGGCCCTATGAAGGGTATA